TCGTGGTGTCTCCAAGTGCGCGCTTCATTGAGAGAAATGAAACACTGATTAAAAGGCACGCACGAACACAGGAGTAAAAATAGCCATGCGTTAATGTGCTCCGCTTATTTATTGCCAGCAGACCTACTTACTCCAGCTGTACTGTACAACTTTAGATCTGCAGATTATTTTTTGTAACTCCTGCTTTCAGACTCAGTGTTTCAGTTTTTTTACGGTAGGCTTTACTTTTAGATCTTGCGTCGTCTGCCAACATATGGGTGCAAAGTAAACTTCATTAGTCTTGGCTGAGGTGTTTAGCCTGCTGAAGGTTCTTTAGAATGAAAAACTCTCAGGCTGCATCAACACTGATAGTCTTTCTGATATTCATACAAATGAACACGGAATTAAAATGTTCCTCATTGGCTGGTCCAGCCCGCTGCGGCAGCATACGACAGTTCTCTGCATCTTTTCTAGATATGTGCGTTTTAAATCCCATGTTCTACGGTTGTCCTTTTTTGTGGGTCACCGCAAGTGCAAGGAGGAAAAGCCAGGATTTGCGGCAGAGATTGTTGCTCATCTTCTGGCCAAAGCATGCGATTAGTTTCATGGGTAAAAAGCATAGCCTTCTGGCTGTTTGGCACATCTAGAAAGCGCTCCTAACTTTTTTCCACTCTGAACACGGGCTGTTTTCGCCCTGGCTAAAAAGGACTCTGGCTCATCTGTGTTGGTTTACATGAATTTTGTCCTTGTTGGGGCTGGGACGAATTTGCAAAATCAATAAAGCAGGAAAACGTTATCAGTAAATATTGGTAAAATTTAAAACCACAGGTACTTTACAGAGTAAGTGTGCAGAGATTTGATGACTCGAGACTCTCAAACTGACTCTCGATTCGACAAAACCTTTAAAGACTTGCAACTAGGCCTGGATGGATAGATGAACGGTTACTGGATACTGGGAAACTGACAGAGAATTATAGAAGACTAATTTACTGTTAAAGAGCTTGTGAAATATGTTGGGAAATTGGGGTTCATGTTCCTTTTAAGCGTGTGGGCGTGTGCTAGTATTTTCTGTTAAGGAGAGAAAGAGAAGCTTGTTACAAAGCAGCAATAACATGAATAAGCCCCCGTTCACATTCAGCACTTGTCTCCAGGCTCACTGTTTTTAGTGTGCTGAGCTAGTTTTAGTGCTGGTCTAGTTACTAGTGCTGATCTTAGTTTACTGAAATGGTATTATATTAAATCGTTCTCACACCGACTCAAAGTTTATTTACTTTATTTGGAGTGGTCCTTTGTAGATGATTAATAAATTCTTAACAGATTATCAGTAACACATCAACAACATATCCGTAAAGTAGCTGTAGTGAAGCATCTGAATACACTGAAGTAAATATCTTGTAGATGTTCTGTTGATACATTACTGACATTAAGTAGATGTATTGTTAATGTGTTACTTCCATTACGCAAAACCTAACCTTACCAACCTTACCCAACACCTAACACTCACTCTGGGCCTAATCCTAACCCTAACCTTAACCTCAACTAGGGCTGGGCGATAAAACGATAACGATAAGTATCGCGATGTAACTTGTTCGATAAATGTTCGATATAATACACCATTCTCACACTTCCATGTTCAGCGAAAGCCTTGGTGGCGTTTTCTACTGCAAGGAAAGCGACACTACTCAGCTGTCGCCAGGAGAGGGCGCACTTCCGAGTTTTTCGACTTGATTAGAGAGGGAGGGGGCCACGAGTAAAAAATGGTCACCAAATATACTTTAGCAACGGCTGAAATGTGGAGTTATACGGTTCCTGTTTGAGCGGAGCGACTGGCGATCTGTTCTACTGTGACCGAGTCTGAGTGACGAGGTCAGTGGTGTAACTGCACTGACCTACAGTGAACTCACCTCTTTCTGTACATCCTAACCAGCTTTAGCGGTGTTAAATCACGTCTGCAGCGCTGTGTTACAGCGCCAAACCGTCATATTTTAGTATTAGTTCATTCCTAAGCAACGAAAGTGAAAGAAAGAAGTGGGTTAATGTAAATTACAGCCCTGATTTAAACGAAGGTAAACTGAGGAAGCTGTGAGGCATTGGGAAGAGGGAGAGCGCTGTCTCTCCAGGCTAGCTGTTTTTAGCTGCTGGCTAATTACAGCAGCGCTCCGGCACAACACAGTGAATTGATGATACTGTAGATCAAACAAGACACAAAATCACTGCTTTCAGTTTAAACATACCTAAAAGGAGGACTCAGTTTGTCTGGTGTGAGAGATTCACACTGCAGATAATGCTTTTACACAGCGAGCGTCAGATATACTGCGGTTCACCCCTTAAACTACTACGGTAGCATAGAGAAGCCCAGTCGTCGCTAGCTGGTGTCTGAATACTGTGATATGCTCTGACATGGATGTGGTAGGAGTGACCGCAGTGACCTACCGAACCGAGTTGACGTTGTTGAGAAACTAAAGAGTTTAGCACTGTTGTTGGCCACTTGTTTAGCATTTGTAACGGGATAGTCGAGCACTCGTCACCAGACAGCTAAAAATAATTTTTTGTTTCTTAAATCATGACTATTAAATTGCAGCTGTGCTTTTCCAGCTGATAAAAACAGCTCAGAAACTTTCTCCCACTCTCCCAAGACAGATTTGTGAAATGTTCCACTGTTTGCCGAGTGTTTGTCATGATCGGACCATAAGTGATAGTTTAAAACCACAGTTAACCACCCAGGAGCAAAATCAGCCTTCAAACGTGAAAGAAATCATGATTTGACATTTATCGTGATATGTTTCGATATCGAACGATATGAATTTTGTTTAGCGTGATAACATTTTTGACCTGACCTTATCCTCAACCCAAAACCTAATCCTAACCCTCATATGTTGTTGTTATGTTACTGAGAGTCTGTTGAGTGTTTGTTTCATCTAAAAGGACCACTCAAAATAAAAAACACTAACTAAGAATAGTGAGTCCTCTGTGAGTTGGTGATGATCTTTTTAGCAGAATGGGCTCTTACTGGTGTTTCTGGCCTTGAATATCCATGGCTGAAAAAAATGATAATTTAGTTGGAAATTCTAATCAATGAATTGATCTTTTATTCTTCTTTGCCTTCTTTGTGTGCGTCTTTAATTAAAGAATTCATCGGAGTGAAAGTGACAGTGCAAAATTGTGTCCACTTTTTTGTCCTTAAAATTCAACTCTATGGGGAAAAGACCTCATGACTACTAAATATTGAACTATAATTAAGAGTGAAATGATGGCAATTTCACTGTCTCAGCTTGTCCTCCCATGATGACCTTCTGCTGCTTGTGTAAATGATATAAAAACCAAGACTGGAGTTTCAGATCATGGATCAGAGTGCAGAGCACTCATGCATACAAAATGGAAATGAAAATAAAAAAACAAACCATTTTTGGATTTCATGGCCATTATTGATAATCACAGGTGCATCAGTGAGTGGTTCCTTGCCTAATCCCTGATTCTGTAATCGTGCAGACGTCCTGGCGCTTTCTGAAACTGCTCCATCAATGACCTTGTACTCTTTCCTTGTTTCCTCTGCTTTTCTGCCAGCTCTTCTCTGAAACCTCGAGCCTCGACACTTGTGAAGGAGCAGGGAAGATGTCTGGTGTTTTGTTTTTTCTACTAAGTTGAGCTCGACCTCGAATGCCTGTTAGCTGCGTTATGAAAGCCAGTCGCTCTCAGAACAGTGTGTGATGGCGGACTGGTGCTAATTGTTTCTGAAGTGAGCATTTCTCCTTGGCGGGGGAAAGAGTGTTTACACGAATGTGTAGCTCGCGCTGTGCGACCAGTCCAGTCCAGCACTGGAGGCTCAGCGTGAGGCCTTCACAGTGCAGCGCCATCACTTTCAATAACATCCAGCGCTAATAAACATCCGCCCACACAATCATCCCTCCGTCTCAGATGTGCTAACAGGTTTGGTATTTGAAAGGCCGCGTTTCTTCCTGAGGTTCTGTCATGTCTGATGTAAAATCAGAGAGAGGGACGTTTTTGTCAAGGTGTGAAATGAGCGCTATTTGAGTTTTGTGTAACAGAGACTCAAAATTGTTACTGACATCAATTTTAAGGGGGATAAAAATGTTGATAACGGACAGTTCTGGCCAATATAATTTTATATGGTAACAAATTAAACAAATGCTAATAGATTTAATTGAACAGTGTTTTATTCTGGGGCTATCAAATATTTTTGAATATTTAATATACCAGAATATTCTGTTCTGTATTATCTTGATTATTGAAATATTCTTTAAGAATAAGAAAACCTGAAAACTTTTAATGTTTTTGTTTTTGTTATTATTTTTTCTTAATATTATAAGTTATTTATTTTTATTATTATTATTATTATTATTATTATTATTATTCATAGTAATGATGATAATTTGCTTTTGGCTACTATTGCATAAACTTTATTCATTTATTTTGCTATGTTTTTCGCTAAAAAAATAATTAAAATACTACAAGATGATGAAAAGAACATCACTGGTAACCACTTGCTATAAAAAAAAAAGTAGCAAAAAAGCTAATCTGAGTGGTCATGCCCAATCTGGCAACCCTGAGAGGTCATTGGCACTGTGTTGGCACTGAGCAGAGGAAACGGCATCTTTTTAAAAATCATCTTTAAAAATGAAAACAACTTCTTTGGTCAGTGAACGGGATGGATAGCAAATTTGACATTGAGGAAAAAAGAAAATAGAAAATGTGGCCTGTGCAAAATTTGTAGCGCAAATTGTTGTTTATCAACAAATAAATAGAAATTTTGCACTAAAATCTGCAGAAAAATATGCATTTTAAGTTCCCTGTGGATGTGTCTTGTTGTTATTTGTTTCATCAACAAATTGTTGTTAACAAAAGTTGTAATTTGACCAGCGGTGTTTAAACATTTGCATATGAGATCTTATTGGTGGGACGTTATAAATGCTTTTGTCACCTTTTGCCAAGCGATATATTGGTCAGGCTGTAGTGTTTAACGCAGATTCTTGACTGGGTATTTGTCTGTATATTTCGGACAGGGCAACTGAACAGTGGCTGCCCCTCCACCCTCCTCGTCTCGGCCCCCCCTGCCCCCTCTGATGGACCGCATGAGGAAGATCAAACGGCAGCTGTCCCTGACGCTGCGGGGGGGCAGCAGTGGGGAGAAGAGCCTGAACGAGACCATCAGCTCGCAGGACGCAGGAGCGCACAGCGACTCCGGTACAGTTACAGGCACACAGCACAAAGCCTCCACCTACACTTTAGAACACCGACTCTCACAGAGGAGCTCACATTCACTCCAGCTCTACACCCACCAGCAGTGCAGCACTTCATGGCTACAAACTGACTCATGCACTCGTTTCAGCTCTAAAAGCCCAAAAAGCGTTCATCCCAGCTCTATATTCGACCATTCAAAAGTTTGGAATCACTGATTTCAATTAAATGGGTGTACCTTAACAGTCATGGGGACAATGCAGCTCTTTTACTGCTCTGTTGCGGCTCCACAGCAGAATTAGTGAAATTCAGTAAAAATAAAATAATCCTCCTTCACAGTTAAATAAATCTCTGCCGATTGTTCAACACAGTTTTAAAAATAAATAGTCTTAAACGCTGGAATTAACTGCTAATTCATCAACCTTTAACCCTGGAGGTTTGCATGTAGTCTACTGGTCTCACCTAGTTAGTAGTTAACAAAACGGCAAAGAGAGATTTAAGACAAACATTGATAATTTGGAGACGAATGGACTTATTTTCATTTATAATCACTCCAGCTGGTTTCCTCATACGTTTAATCTGCAACGAGACACTGTCAAACCCTAAAAAGTTGTGAGGCTGGAGTCAGATTCTTAAATTCAATATCATTCTTAAATGGATTCACCTTAAATTATGCAGCTGTTAGCTACGTTCTGATGCCTCAGGCACCGTTTAGGGTGGAATGAGGAAATTCAAACAAGAAGCTGGCGAATGAGAAGCGACGTCAGCCTCGTAAAAAGTCAAACGTTTAGAGACATTTGGAAAGCAAGTGTTCTACTTTTGTGGAAAAGTTTTCTGCCAGAGATGTGAGAAGAGCAGCTATAGCTGAGCTAAAGCTTAAAGCAGAGCAAAGTAAGTCTGCGTTTTTGTTTATATCATATTTTTAGCTTATACTAGGACATTAATATATACTGAGACATATTTACAGCCAAGATGGTGAAACGTTACCTCAATAAAATGGGCATAAAATGTTGTGGCTACCAAGGTGGTTTGATTTTTGTAGAAAGAACAAAATGGCTCCTCTTAACATTTAGGTTGCCGACCCCTGCTTTAGACTAAAATCATTTTGCTTTGAGTGACCCTGTATTTTAATTACTTAATACCTTAAAACTAGCAATACAACCATAACACGCCCAAAGCTTTGCCAAGTGTTTCAGTAGTGACTGTTTCTGTAGAGACAATTTTAACTAATTTTGTGCAGACCTCAAAAACACTAGCCAGTACATGACTAGTGAAAAGCTTTGAACAGTTGCTCACACTTAAAATCATAATGTTTTTCATTGAAACACAAGATGGTTTCCTTAATTGCAGAAAATCTGTGTTATGGTAGTGACAATTCTTAATGTTTCACACTGATTTTCAGACTTTGAGATACATTTACTTCAAAACAATGGGATCTAACTGCTCACCATGTGGCCATGAAGGACAGGGATGCAGTCTTGCTTCCTGATCTAAAATGCAGGGGTGCGGCTAAAATAAGGCTCCACCTATGGATTAAAACTCTTTGTTTCTGTAGTGACATGAAAACATGAGAGCATTTTTCGAATATTTTTTTTTTTCAAAATTTCAAAGTAAATCTTTTAATTTCACTTTAAAAAAAAATTAAAAAGATCATTAAAAACAACATTGAAAAAAAACAAAAAATGTGTAAATTTACAGGTTTGGGTTTGGGACAGACACAATAGAAAGTACCCTATAAATGATGATATTGTATAAATGTAGCTTATTAATATCTCAGTCAATGCCTTGGGTTTAAATAGATTATAACATAATTCTTGTAAATGTTTTAAACAGTTTTTTACAGTGAGACTGCAGTTTGAACTAACTGGGCAGAATGGACCATACACATTAAAATGTATGTAGACCTTTTAGAGATTAAATGATGCAAGGTACTAGTGAATCAAGTCTTTCCGAAATGAAATATCCCAAATGAAATATTTTATTTTTCAGCAGGCTAGCAGCCCATATTCATTAGTGAATATTAGTGAATTATTTTCTCATTAGCACAGAATGATGATCTAAGTAGAAAATGAAAGCGAAATGCAGGCTCTGCACAAGCAGCGTCTGATTAGATACTCAAAGCTGTCAGGATTATTGATAACCCGTTATTGCCTCTTCCTTCCTGTGAAAAATAACCCGCAGTGCCTGCCGTCGTGTGTGCGATTGCCCGTGGAGAGACAGTGTTGTCTTGCTGAGTCTTCATTTGGTTTCAGTTACTAAACACGCACATTTGTTTTCAGCCTCGGTTCGTGCTGTCTGACAGTGTGAGACGGGCGTGCAGTGCGGACACTGTAACTGCTCAGATGACCTGCGTTCATGTGTGGTTGCCGTGTGGGCGCTCGCGTGATGGACCTGTACTTTGGTCTCCTGCTTGCCATTGTCCTTCTGACCTATCAGCATGTTCACTCCAGCATGGTTCCTCGCCTCTGACCAATCAGCCGCCTGCTTTGTCAGAATGAACTAGTGGCTCATCTGACACTTACAAAGAAATGGCTTCTCATTTCATCCCCTTTAGAAGGTTCTGTCTGCGTTCTGAACAGTTTTGAGATATTGAGCTTCAAAGATTTCGCGTTCCAAATGGCAAAACTAATATGTGGAACACGTTTCTTTCAAACATGAAAATGACAGACATCCTAAATGTGTTCTAAATGTACAATATCAAAATCTGTAAATGAGTGTTTTTGTAACAGGTCAAATGCAGATAGAACCTTCTAATCCTAAGAACCCACTTTCTGCTTGTAATTATAAGGTTTTGTCTGGCAAAACATGAAAAGAAGTGATGATTTTCAAGGAACACAAACAGTTTATACTCGTAATTTATTTTAAGCATAAAATTAATGTTGTTACAGAGTGTCAGCATATTTCAGAAAGCTAAATGAATGCTTTCTATGACGTTTTGTGACATTTATTTTTATTATTTATTCATTTTCAGGACATTCATTTCTTATTTTAGGACAAATAATTTTTTTCTTTTAAAAAAAAATCGTTGCAGGTTAGGTATAACTGTCAGTGCTAAATATTTTGTCCAGTGTGGAGGTGAATTTTAGGTAGGGATCATTAGATTAAGTTTCCTTTAGTTTAGACAGAAACCAGCTACTGTAATAAACTGTCCCAGCAAGTAAGTGCCGCGGGTCAGTGTAAAGGCATTAGATTTTGTTGTATATCAGAAATATTGACTCTAATGCACGAAAATGTCCTATATTGAGAGAAAGAATGAAAAATGATGGATGAATGAATGAAAGTAGTGTTTGTGTTGTAAATGAGACCCCATCAGTTTAATACTGTTTAATTACCTTTAAGCCTTAATATACCTAAATTTTAAGACAATAAGACTGCAATAAGACAGGCAGTGTATGATAATATACCTGCTACAAATCATGGAATTAGGGCCTTCAAAAAGATGTGTTTAGGGGAAATTCCACCAATTTATCAAAATTTCTCTATTCATTGTAGAGAAATTTGGATTTCTTCAAAATGGTGGTGATAGGAACCAGAGGTCACGATGCTTACAGCACAAATAGCCATTTTATTCACACGACCAGTGAACCTACACACGTCTTCTGGGTTTTCTTGTGTAATATTCATATGTAACCATCATGTAATGTAACGATGGTGGCAAAATAGAGGTAAATTTGGAAAAAAAGACTATTTTGCCTTACAGCACCCTGAATGTACCTTTTCACCAGGAATGGATTTTAAAAAATAATCTAATCTCAAAACTATCGTAAAAGAATGTCTCAGGCATCAGGCAGCGTCTTCATAACCGTTTCTTGTATTAAGTTTCTGTAAAGAAGCTTTTAGAGACTAAACTCTTCAGACGTCTGGTTCCTATCACCACCACTGTGAACAATTCTGACAAATTTCAGCTAATTTCACATCAGACCACTCTGAATGGCTTTACATCTTAACCATTTAATTATGGCGAAACTTTGAAAAATCTGTGTAATTCCCCTTTATTTATATTACAGTATTACAGTATTATGGCATTAAGATGTGGATGACAGCTGGTGTTATACTGTAACAATATCGCCGTTTTATTGCCCAGTGGTGAATGATTAGGCAGTGTGCATTAGAGCTGGTTCAACTGCTCCATTTCATTGTTTTATGTTTGTTTGCCCGTTCTGGCTTTGTTCCCAGCGTATCTCGGGGTTGGCGAAGTCCATTCGGCTTTCATAAAATGATAAACTGCTGCTCTTGTATTTCATCTTGATCATCAGCCGTGCAGCAGCAGCACGTCATTAAAACAAGTAATGGCGGCAGAGAAAAATATGTCAGTCGATTTGGAGCTTAACTGCTGATCCCCTGTTTTTGGCATCGCTGATTTTATTTGTACTAACACTGAAAGTGTTCCTTACGAACTGATCCTGAGTTTATTAACATGGTTTTGCTAAATTAAATGCATGCTGTAAGACTGTGTGTGTTTCCCTGTTGATTTCTTTGATTTTAATTTGCTGTTTCCCTTTTCTTTTCTTCTTCCCTCTCTTTCTCGATGTGCCCTCTCTGTTTTCCCCTGTCTTTCCCCTGCTGTATCCTCTCTGACTCCCACCTTGCTGACCACCCTTTGCCATTTCTTTTTTTTTCCTTTTTTTTTTTTAAACTTGTTATATTACATGCTGCCATCTTTTAATTTCTCTGGCTGTTACACTGCATTACATCCCCATCCCACAACTCCTCCATCATCCTCTCTCTCTCTCTCTCTCTCTCTCTCTCTCTCTGTCTCTCTCTCTCTCTCTCTCTCTCTCTCTCTCTCTCTCTATGTATTTTTCATCTTCTGTTTCTCTGTTTTTCTCTTTTTTTGTCTTTTATTTTTTATATATTCTTCATCTTCCATCTTCTCATGCATTTCTTTCCCTCTCTTTACTTATTTACACTCTCTCTTTTTTCTCTCGCATATGGTCTTCTCTTTTCTCTTCTTATGTTCTCATGTGCTCATGGTCTTTATTTCTTCTCTTCACCTCTCTTCTCTTCTCCTCTCGTCTCTTCTCTTCTCTTCTCCCCTCTTCTCTTCTCTTCTCCTCTCCCTCTTCTCTTCTACTCTCCTTTCCCCTCTTCTCTTCTCTTCTCTTCTCCCCTCTTTTCTTCTACTCTCCTCTCCCCTCTTCTCTTCTCTTCTCCTCTCCCCTCTTCTCTTCTACTCTCCTCTCTCCTCTTCTACTCTCCTCTCCCATCTTCTCCTCTCCCCTCTTCTCTTCTACTCTACTCTCCCCTCTTCTCTTCTCTTCTCCTCTCCCATCTTCTCTTCTCTTCTCCTCTACTGTTCTCTTCTCTTCTCCCATCTTCTCTTCTCTTCTACTCTCCTCTCCCCTCTTCTCTTCTCTTCTGTTCTGTTCTCTTCTCTTCTCCTCTCCCATCTTCTCTTCTCTTCTCTTCTCTTCTCCTCTACTGTTCTCTTCTCTTCTCCCATCTTCTCTTCTCTTCTCTTCTCCTCTACTGTTCTCTTCTCTTCTCCCATCTTCTCTTCTCTTCTCTTCTCTTCTACTCTCCTCTCCCCTCTTCTCTTCTCTTCTGTTCTGTTCTGTTCTCGTCTCTTCTCTTCTCCCCTCTTCTCTTCTACTCTCCTCTCCCCTCTTCTCTTCTCTTCTCTTCTCTTCTCCCCTCTTCTCTTCTACTCTCCTCTCTCCTCTTCTACTCTCCTCTCCCATCTTCTCCTCTCCCCTCTTCACTTCTACTCTCCTCTCCCCTCTTCTCTTCTACTCTCCTCTCCCATCTTCTCTTTTCTTCTCTTTTCTTCTCCTCTACTGTTCTCTTCTCTTCTCCCATCTTCTCTTCTCCCGTCTTCTCTTCTCTTCTCCACTTCCATTTTCTCTTCTCTTCTCTTCTTATGTTCTCATGTCCTCATGGTCTTTATTTCTTCTCTTCTCTTCTCTTCTCTTCTCTTCTCTTCTCTTCTCTTCTCTTCATCCCAAATACCTATCCTCTGTTATTGTGTCCCTCTCCTCTCCTCCTCTGTGTGTGCTTCCCCATCTCCCTCTCTCCCAGAGGCCATGCCAGGTGGGGGTAGTGCCGGTCTGCGTGGGTCAGTGAGAGGAGCGGGCGGCTCCTTCAGCATGCACTCACTCCTGCAGTCCTACAGCAGCGCTCTCCGCCGCCCGCGCAGCCTGGGCCGCAGCCTCAGCTCCTATCTCAACCACACCACACGCCTGGGTACACACACACACATACACACACACCCTGCACCAGCCACACACACTGTTCTGCATCTCTATCTGACTTCCAAGTCAGTGTCACTGCAGTGCTGAGAATGATCCTCTACTCAAATAAGACCTGCTCTGTGGTGGTCCTGTGGGGTCCATGACCACTGAATTGGGTAAGGGGGGGTGTTTGGGGGTGGGGCTTGGTAAAGGATAATTTTAGAATTATAAAATGCAACTATATGGTAAGTAGACCTGATAAAATGGACAGTAAGTGTAGATGCATACCTTTAGGTATACCTAAAGTAGCGTAGATGCGCACACGCATGCATTCAAACATATGCATTCATATGCATTTGTGTGTCTGGATGAGAGAGAGCTGTTTGTGTGCTTGAGAGAGCATCGCCTGGACCTCAGCTCCTTCCTCAGCAACACCGCAGAGAGAGAGAGAGAGAGAGAGAGAGAGAGAGGTCTTAGAGCAATGTCAGCTCTGAACTGCTTCCTTCACACACATACAGACAGAAGGGTGAGAGACTGGGGTGTGTGAGGTGACACAGGGGGACGGGGGAGCTGGGCTGAGAGTTACTGCAGATAACAGTGGTAGCGTTAAATAACACAGCAGCTCTCAGCACTGCAGAATTTAAAACCACAGTCCACTCGCACTTTCTGCAAAATATAACAGTTTACCTTAAAGCTGATTAATGTAAGCGTTCCGATCTACAACCCCATTTACAAAATAGTTGGGACGCTGTGTAGAACGTAAATAAAAATGGAATGCAATGTCAAATATGCATATCATGTAAATCACATTTTTAAAGGAAAATAGTACAAAGACAACATATCAAATGTTGAAACTGAGAAATTTTATTGTTTTTTGAAAAATATATGCCCATTTTGAATTTGATGCCAACAACATGTTCCAAAAAAGTTGGGACGGGGGTGTGTTTACCACTGCGTTTCAGCACCTCTTCTTTTATCACCACTTTGTAAGTGTAAGGGAACTGAGGAGGACCAGTTGCTGTAGTTTTGAAAGTGAAATGTTTTCTCATTGTTGTTTGATATAGAATTTCAGCTGCTCAACAGCTCAGGGTCTCATTTGCCATATTTTTCATTTCATAATACGCAAAATGTTTTCAGTGGTGACTGGTCTGGACTGCAGGCAGGTCAGTTTAGCACTCAGGTTCTTTTAAAACATCCATGCTGCTGAAAAACATGCAGAATGTGGTTTGGCATTGTCTTGCTAAAATAAGCAAGGGTTCCCTGAAAAAGACATCATCTGGATGGCAGCATATGTTGCCATATGTATATATTGTTCGGCATTAATGGTGCCTTCACAGATGTGCATGTCACCCATGCCATGTGCACTAATGCACCCCTATACCATCATGAAAACTGGCTTTTGAACTGTGCACTCATAACAAGTTGAGTGGTCTTTAGCCTGGAAGATACAGTGTCCATGAGTTCCAAAAAGAATTTCAGATTTTGATTCGTTGGACTACAGGACACATTTTTTCACTTCGCCCATTTTAAATGAGCTCGGGCCCAGAGAAGGCGGCAGCGCTTTGCCAGCACTGTCTTTCACAGAGTGGTGAACCCCTCCCCATCTTTACTTCTGAAGGACTCATATCATACTCTATATTATACTCTATCATGTTACTGACCTGTTGCCAATTAACCACCAGGTGTTTTTTTTTAATTACACAACTTTACCAGCCTTTTGTTGCCCCTGTCCCAACTTTTGTGGAACATGTTATTGGCCTCAAATTCAAAATGGGCATATATTTTTCAAAAAACAATAAAATTTCTCAGTTTCAAAATTGTATATGTTGTCTTTGTACTATTTTCAATGAAATATAGGGTTTCAATGATTTGCATATCATTGCATTCCATTTTTATTTACATTTTGGGGTTGTAGTTCTCATTCAGAGACTGCAGCAGTTACAGTCACCAGTACCAAAACCTAGTACAGATCCTGACAGCTCCTGAATGATGCTGCTGTTCAAAGTACAAACTGAAAGTGGGTGTGGCTTAAACCACATGAACGCCAGGGTCTGACTGCAGTGGAATGCAGATTCATCAAGAAGTGCTGATGTTCATAACATGCATACAGAATGAAGACAGCTAATCAGCTATAAAGCTTTTGGAACAAAGACATTTATTAGGTGTTGCTGCTTTGGTGTTGAAATTTGCAGAGCTGGCCAGAATAATTCAAACACTTGAATATTCACTTGTTATTGTTATTCATTTCCGTATTTAGTGTACGGAAGCTTTGTCTTCTTTTTAAGCCACTAAAGTTATAGCTTCAGTGCAAAATGTGTGATAGGAGTCTGATAAACCATGGGGAGACAGGAAGTTTGATGAATTGTCTCAAATAAGTAAGTGTATTGAACCTTATGAGTACTGTCATGGATCCAGTTCTCACTTAAGGCAGGAACCATCACCCTTTGGGTGGGAAGATCGGCTTTTCCTCTCCCCTTCTTTTCTAATGAAACCGTTCATAGCTGGTTTAAAAATGGATAACACACACAGCGGATCGTTCTATTTAAACGAAACCAAGATCACAGGTTTTTACAGCTGCATCAGAGAAGTATCTCCTCTAAACACAGTTAGTACAGCACAGGAGCTGCAACACCAACAAGATCATCTCTTATTAGTTAATTATTCCTTTAAATATAGTTTAGAATACTATAAACGGTGGGATTGCGTGATTTGACTGGATCTCTGTGGACTTAATGTTTCCTTTGAGCACAAGTGAGAAAAAATAGGCCTGCATTTTGTCAAGTGGAGCTGGTAGGACGTGAACTGTAAAATAGAAGCGTATTTCTTCTGTCAGGTGAACAACCAAAATACTCTAAGCTCTTCAGGCCAGTATGAAATGACATGGATTTTTCAGTAGTCTGTAATATTAAAGTAATTCAGTTAGTACATAAAAGCACACACAGATTCAGCTTTGTTTACATGAATGTTCAAGGGGTTTAAAGGGCCCATATCCTGCATTATTCTTGTTTTTAAGTCTCTCCCCACTTTGGAGGTTGACATATGATGTTTAAAAATTATATAATAGCAATTCATTTTTACATGACTATTTTCCAACCTCTCTTTATCCCTTAGAATTCAACAGACTGTTTTAGTTACTGTGCCTTTGAGACCAATATATGTAAATGAGCTCTGTTGTGATTGGCTGCACTTCTTGCAGGGCTAAAACACTTCTTGTAACTTTAGTGTAAAGGGGCGGAGCTAAACTGCTGTAGGCTGAATAGGTGGATATGTGTAATTGTGTTGGTTTTTGTGACATCACAGAAACATTGAATTCAGAATAGCCTGTTTTACAGTTTAATTTCCTTACATGGACTGTGTAAAATGGGGAGTGAACCGCGTTTACATACTACATACTCATTTCTATGTTATGGGCCCTTTAAAAGGATATTTTTGAATGTAGATGTGAAGCCTTTACTCTAATTCTTTATTCCTGACCAGACTTTTATTTGCTGGAGAGCTGCAGAGAGGCAGTCTGTTGGTGAACCATGAGTACAGCTGAGAAAGGAGGTGTTCTGTAATTTAATGCCCAGGAGATGTGTTCATAAGCAAATGAGAGCTAGGCAGGGCAGCCTGCAGGACAGGTGAGTGTGTACTGAGGACTGTTGGAGTGCAGTGGAGTAGAACAGTGTAAGGTTCTTTGTCAGTTTGTAGCTGAAGGTGTTGAATTCAAGATTTCAATGAAGCTATAATACAATTTAATCTAGTAAAGCAGGGAGATGGCTTAACTATCCAGTACTGTGGCCTCTTACGGCTGGAATGGACGACCTGATTTGGAACAAAAAGCACTACAACCACCTGAAACTAAAAGAAAAGGGTAAACAGACTGTTATGAATTCAGTTTCCTAACCTGCGTGTACGTGTGTGTGTTTGTGCGCATGCAGAGATAGTCCATGAAGATGTGAAGATGGGTTCTGATGGAGAAAGCGACCAGGCTTCGGCCACCTCATCTGACGAGGTGCACAGTCCGGTCCGGGTGCGGCTCCGGAACAACCCGGGACGCAAAATTTCCACTGAGGTACATCCGCACCCCAGCCCCTCCCTTAGGACCTCTGCTGGTCCAGGGTGCTGTAAATGATGCATGCAGTCGTGATGAAATGAAGAGCTGTTTTCTGTAGAACTGCAGAGGAACAGCTGGCAGCGAGGGGCTCAATAAAAGGAGTGTTAATGCGCTTTGACAGACAGGTGTAGCTGGGAGTAAATTATGCAGAGAGCGGACTGTTTCCGCACGGTGACCGCTTAACCCTCCGCTCACTCATCAACGCTTTGTGTTTCCTAATTCAGGTCCTGAATTGTGTGTGTTTTGTTTGCATTGTTTAGTCACTTAATAGTAGTTTGTAGTTTTTGTTTACACACATTACTGTGCAAAAGTCACAGAACGTCCTTCAGTTATTTGATTTACAGTTATTAATTTTTCATGAAAACATATTTAACATGCAATACTAAATATAATATGAACATTTTCAGAATTTGCTGTGTTCAGGCTTTGCTTTCATTAGATACTTTAGTTTTTCAGTTTTTCAAAGAAATCTGCAGGGATGTTTTCCACACCTCCAAAGTTCAGTCTTAGAAGTTGTTTGCATTTCCTGCTTTTGGTGGTCCATGTAATTCCAGACTCATTCAGTGATGTTGAGGTCTGGACTCTGGGGTGGTCAGTACATTGCTCAGCTTCTTTGTTTGATATGTCTTGCGCTGAGCCGTCTTCTCACAGTGGAAGGATGGACAGAAACACCTGTGGATGTTTTCAGATCTGAAGCAGCTCGATTTTCTCCTCTCTCTCAAAGATGAAAGCTTTAAACTTTAAGCTGAGCAGTCAACTCCACAGGGTCTCTCTGTTAACACTTTGGAGGACTCCCTGTCTTGTACTACTATACTACTGACCACTCTACCAGATTTTGCAATTATAATAATTTTCAGTTTTGGAAACTCCTGTTTTTTAACTTATTTTTCTTTGACTGTCTCCTTCTTTATGCAAGTGGGTTATCTTATAAGAAACATAAGGTAATTTTATACAAGTTTCTTGTATTTTTCTTGTATCTTATCTCCTCAAAAAGATCTCCTGAAAAATAATTAACTTCGCTGACTTTTGCACAGTACTCTTGAGCTTGTATGCAGCCCCACACTGTTATTCCTTCATAAATTAAAAAACTTGCATATTGGTTTCATAGTAGTTACTGAAAAATATATAGTATTAATAAGCTCTAAATAATAAGCTTGGAGTTCAGGGGGTTAAATATCAGAATGGGTCGTTGCAGTGATGTAGCTAAAAGAAACCTTTAATGATTTTACTGCTAAAGTTTTGTCTTGTGTCTCTGTTTCCTCTCAGGACATTAATAAGAGGCTGTCTCTGCCGGCTGATATCCGGCTGCCGGATGGTTATCTGGAGAAGTTCAGTTTGAACAGCCCGCTGTTCGACAAACCGCTGAGCAGGCGGCTCCGCAGGGTCTCTCTGGTAACTTCACTGAGGGGAAACTGCCCTTCTCCTGTTATTCACTACTGACCAAATTCTCTTTACTGAGATACCACTGACCACTCCGTTTTCCTTACTGCTATCCACTCTCTATCCTGCTCACTACTCCCCGTCTTTACTACTGACCACTGCAGTACTGTCTGACTCTCTAATTCTCTCTCAGTGCCTGTGTTGGGCCACAGTTGTGCTGTTGATTTCAGTTTAGGATGCTTCAGTGCTCAGAAATGATCTACTAATAATCTAACACTACATGGACGTTTACTCTGGACATCTAAATTTGCTTGTGATTTAGCATCTATTGCCCAAAAGTGGCTTTTAAAAATATATGAATGAATAAATATATCACTGCTGTTACAACAAAACCTTCTGTCTTCAAAATGGTAACTTTACAGGAGAAGGAAAGAATTTACTTTACTTTTAATGTAAGTCAGTGGAGCCAGACTGTTTTACCAAGACTTTTTTCCATTTTGCATCATTTCTTTTGGTCCAGTCATCATGAAATTTATACACAATATAAAGGGCAACAGGCATTTTCAGATGATGTCAAAAACTGAAAAATGGCAAAAATGGAGATACAAATTTTTATTCCAACAGCAGTGATATTGTATTGATATTGATGTCCAAAAAATAACAAGTATCTCTTTTTTTTTTTAATTTATTTATTTTTTATTTTTAGTTTTCTGCATAATTTGAGCTCAGCGTCTGTCCTTTACATCATGTGAAAATGTCACAATGATTGAACCAAAAGAAATCCTCCAGAATTGCTTCGGATAAAAACTCTTTACATTAACTTATGTTGAAAGCAAAGCACGTTTTAGCTCTCTCCTGTAAAGTTTCCACTTTGGAGATACTTGGTTTTCTTTGGACACAATGATATATAAGTATATAAATGAAATGTCTTTGTTTCTCTCTCTCTCTCTCACACATCTCACACATCACTGTCTTTGTCTTGTGTTCCTGCTTGTCTTATTTATTCAGGGTCAAAGCCAAAAGCACAGAGCTCCACATTATCAGCACTATTATAAGTGCTTTGGCTGTGGGTACACTGATATGGATAAGAGGAGCTTTCACTGATGCAGCTCCCTGCAGAGCGCAGAACAATCCTCACTGAGCGTTCCCCTGTCAGACAGTGCATTATGGATGGATTTTATTGCAGACAGTGAAATAAGAGGGTTAGGACTTCTTAAAATGTCAGGAAACACCAAAAGAGCTCAAAACTGGGAATTTTCCTAGTCCTTGTTCTTCTTCTCCTCTGCGCTGCACATTTTACTGTTTTATCCTGCTCATTTCCAGACCTTTTATGAGGGTAAAACATAGTGGCCTCAAAAAGTATTTAGACATTTGTGCCACACTTAAAAATGTAATAAGTTAAATAAAAATGTAATCGTCAAACCAAGTGGCGTTTATTGTAAATAGACCATCCCAAGACTGCCATTTTCTTTTTGGCAAAGAAGGCAGCTGTTAAGAAAATGTATTTTTTAAGATTCACCACTATTTTACCTTCATCAACATTACATATAAAACTCAAGTCAACTGCTCGGTTTGTACAGTAAATAAAATGGCTGAATTATGCAGAAACTTTGAGAAATCTCCTTTTTAAATATATTCTCTACACTTTGTAATAGCATAATGTAGAATGACACCAACATCAGAATATAAATACAGTTCCAGTGAATTCAGTAAAATATTAATTCATTATGCGGCTCTAACTCAGTGGCTGGATGTGCAGGCTGTGGTTGTGGAGTAACAGAGATGTGTTCTGGTTTGCAGTCGGAGATCGGGTTTGGGAAGTTGGAGACCTACGTGAAACTGGATAAACTAGGGGAGGTAATGAGCTAAAATCTCATATTGATGCAATCTGTATGTGTCTCTTGGGCGTGTGTGTGTATAGTAGTGTTGTTTTTTGTGTTTGTGAGCAAAAATAATCAGATTAAATGTCTTCATAATGAAGGCTACTAATAAATTGTAACTGATTTGTTGTAGGGTTATAATTCACATCCCTATTTCATACATTTAGTACACTATAACAAACGTGCGTTCGCCTTTCAGGGCACGTATGCCACGGTGTATAAGGGTCGCAGTAAGCTCACTGATAACCTGGTGGCTCTGAAAGAGATCCGCCTGGAACACGAGGAAGGAGCTCCCTGCACTGCCATCAGAGAGGGTGAGTCACAACCCAAAACACAAAATCCAAAAACTCCCCTGTACCAAACCGTGGCAGCTAAATATAGAGCTGTTCTGGACCAGACCCTGTCTACTGCATCTGCTTAACACAGTTCTGCATTCAGGCCAGGGTGATAAAGGACGCAGGAATCGCCAGGGCTGGTTCTACACATCCTCACTGTAATACGTCTTAGTACGCTACGCTGTTGTTCAAAAGTTTGGAATCACTTTTTAGTAACGGAAATTTTGCTGCAGTTACCTGTATAAAATGATTATATTAAGATACTACAACTTTATAGCTTCATAGGTAATATGTACAAACTTGTAAAACAGTCTGAAATGTTTTTCAGTGTTGTAGATTGTTCCTTAATGACTGAGAAAGCTGTATAATTTTGAGAATGAAGTTATAATAAAGTTGACGCCCTGTATTTAAAATGTAATGACCAAATCTTAAGCAGATAATTTACGAAGGACTTACTGTAAATACATAATTACCTGGGCTGTAGTCAACACCACCTTTGTCGAGGCCAAGACAAGTCCAAGACCGTGACTAGTACAGATCAAGTCAAGACCGAGTCTAAAGGGGGCTGAGACCAAGTCAAGGCGAGGTTCAAGTGAATTTGAGACAGAGTCCAATAATGAGCAAGACTGGTTCAAGACCAAAACCCAAACAGTCAAGTCCTCTTTAAGATCAAGCTTCAACTAGTCTTCATCTGCATCCACTGCAAGTTATTGGAAAAATGTAAAAAGGTTTTCTTTCTGCAAAACAAAACTGTATGTACAAAATACTTCCTCTTCTACTTACAGACACACATGTGATTTGGATTAAAAGTTTCTTGGCATTCAACTGCCACTCTAAATGAATGTAACTGATGGTGATTAGTGAAAATGTGTATTTAGACATTATTTTTCAGCATAGTTTATGACATAGTGAAATGGATTTCACGAACATTATATACAAAATTATTTACATTTTCATCAAATTACAGAGCGGAAGCTCAGCTCTGTTTGCCATTGAGATGAACCAAAGACACTAAAGCTTTGCTCCAGTTCGATCCACTTCAGTTTAACCCCTGAGGTGCTTGAGTGTAGAGGTCTGTGCGGGACTGTTTCTTTCACTCCCGCTCCTGCAAGATTTCAGCCTGCTCCCGCAGAAAATCAGAATCTGTTGTCCCGCTCCCACCCGCAACCAAAATGTTTTGGCACGCTCCTGCCTGCGCAGTTCCGTCAAGGTGAATTCAGACCGGTTATTGTTTGCCTCAGTGATCTTAAGGGGTAATGTTTTGTATTACCAGTGTATTAAGATTTATTCATTTATTCAGAACAATCTGTACAGTGATTTGTAATTTTGCTTTTCTTTCTCTTCACTTGTCTGTGTATCTCTCTCTCTCTCTCTCTCTCTCTCTCTCTCTCTCTCTCTCCAGTTTCTCTGCTGAAGGATCTGAAACATGCCAACATTGTGACCCTGCATGACATCATCCACACGCAGAAGTCTCTGACGCTCGTGTTTGAGTACCTAGTGAGTCACTACACTGGTGTAGAAGCATGAGTACATGTGGCATCAGTCCACACCAACACACGCTCCCAGTTAGCCAATTACACACTTCTTATCTGCGCAGATTTGGATCAATTTCAGTAGATCTGTTCACTTTCAGTTTCCAGCTTGTGGTTTTCCTTAATTTAACATCAGTGAATAAGGGAGTTTTCACATTAAGTTCTTTTTAAATGAACCAAACTTACAGTTGAACCTGCTTCTACCTCAGGGTAGGGAGTTTAACTCTGCGTCACGTGCATGCTTAGCATCAGCCTTTAACCACAGTAAGGTCACAGGTCATATTTGTGGCTTTAACATACCAGGGTTGCTGTCTCTTCTCAAGTTCGCAGACAGCCGTTCTCCTTGCTGTATTTACATTAAGTCTCATAAAGCAAAAACACAACCAGACTGGGACCGTTTTGTTTTTTTTATAATGGACAAATCAGTTGACCCCTAGAAACAACCACCCACAAACCATCCGGTTTTCTTTTTGAGATGGTTCAGAGGGTTCAGAGTTTGTTTGGTGTGTTCACATATTGTTGCTGTCAGAAGAAAACCATGTCCATTTTTGTCGTTATTCATTTTTTTGACATAATTTGAAAACACCAGCTGCATTTTACAGCGTTTTAAAGTTTCACGATGAATGGACTGATAGAAATAGTCCAACTTGTTATGTTACTTTTCATTAAAAGCAGCTTAAAGTGCTTCTCAATACAAAGTAAAATCAACAGAGGAAGAAGAGAAAAAAGATGATCAAAAATAAAAAAAAAATATATATAAAAAGTATAAACAAGCAATAAAAATGCAACTTACAAGAAAATAAAAGTAATAGCAATTTTTTGTTTTGTATATACAAGTTTTTGTTCTGACAGCAGTGATATGCACAGAAAAGCATTACTCAGTGGTCTGAGAACACTGGAAACGTGAAGTGCAGAAACACCCTAAGTACTTGTGTGCTTTGCTTTCCTTCCTTCTGTCCATTCTAATCCCATATTTGTGGTGTTCAGGACAAAGACCTGAAGCAGTACCTAGATGACTGTGGGAACTGCATTCACATGCACAACGTCAAGGTGAGAGCCGCTGGACTCACTAAGCAGTGATCTCATCACAGCAGGGCTGATGGACTGTGTTCTTTTGAGCCGTTAACTTCCCACTACATTTTGAAATGCATGGTTTGCTCCACTGCACTTCCTCAGTATTTGCTAACCTTGTGTGTTTGTTTGTGCAGCTCTTCCTCTTCCAGCTGTTGCGAGGGCTGAACTACTGTCACAGACGCAAAGTTCTCCATCGAGACCTCAAGCCCCAAAACCTCCTCATCAATGACCGCGGGGAGCTCAAACTGGCCGACTTCGGTCTGTGTTTACACACACGCACACATGCTCATGCATTATGATGCTAAAAGACCCTTTGAGGTTGAAACCTATAGTAACCCTTAGAAGTTAAGAATGATTTATATTGGAATAGCAAAGCACAAGAAAAGTAATGCTTTGTTTGTTAATGTAGTTGGTTGCATTTTATAATAGTTGCTGAAATTTGACCCTGAAGAAAGGTTTGAATAATGAATATGCCGTTCATGTAAATCATGTAGATTTAATGAGTTGTAATGGGGTGGGGTATGTTGAAGGGGGTACTGCAAGCAGAGAATTCTGAGAGAAAGTCCCTCTTCTTCCCTCAACACAGAACATCAGCAACTTACACTCATTATCCAGCCAACCCACAGATTGTACTTAATTTTTATGGGCCAATTAGAGCTAAAATAAAATGACTAAAGTGTGAAAAGGGAGCCACAGTTTTATTTGCACATATGCAGATTTCTTCTTTCAATACCTTTCAAATAGTGGGCTAAAGGTTAACGTGTAAATGATCATTGTTAGTGAACCAACTTCCATTTTGTTTTATTTTTTATTTTTGCACTGATTTCTGTGGACCATCATAACCATCTACAAATTACATTACAAATAGCAATAATCGGGGCCAAGCACTGCGCTTATTATGGAGCCAGTAAAACAAAAAATATTGGCAAAATTTTAGAATGGCCTTATCTTATAATGGACGTTGGATCTCAAAAGAAGATGCCTGCCAAATTTTGTACACGTTGACCTTTTGACCTTGGTATGGTAAGCAACAAAATTTTAATGCCCAGAAAACAGTACAGTTTTTTGTGTAATTGTTGAACTCAATGAACTAAATACTTTCATGGCAGTCACCCCTGTACTGCAGGTTCAGAGTGCATCAGAATGCACCAAAATTTTTATGTTAATCTTTAAAATTTCCTCGTGGAACTTGTGCTGCTGGATCCTGCTGCTGGGGGTTGGTTTCTAAACTTGTAACCTTTATTCACTGGTTATGTTTATATGTTATATCTATATAAGTGGACAAATGACGCTTCATTAGTAACATTTTTTTATCGGTTGTGTGAACACAGTGTTCACAGGAACCTGGCGCGAAAATGATGTGATTTCAATAGAGCGAACACAGTTTTCATCTACAGTGTCCAGTGAGAGCAACAGTGGCTGCATGGCTACAGTTGATGATTCTATCATAGCAACGTACAGCGCAGAAGCGGCTGGGCTTCAGCCTGACGTTACTACAGATGGGACAAACTAGGAAAATACATTCATTGAAATGAGCAGAATTACAGCCCTAACAATTATGTAATTACTTATCTAATTGATTAGTGAGTTACAAAAGTATCAAATCTGCACTTTTGATAGAATTTCTCTGTTTTGATGAGCTATGAATAAACATGTAAAATTATAACATGCTTTTGTTAGGGCCTGCAATAACTGCAACTTCACAGAGTTAAGATGTCATGGGAATTGTATTCCAGTTATTACATTTAATTAGTGGATTTGTCATGCTAGCAAATATCTAAAACACTGATGCTGTATTCAGTCTATTGAAGTCTGAAGGATCAGCAGGCATTCTGCAGAGATCTGTGAAAGGATTTCATTCACAGTCCTTTCTGTTATGCTTTTTCCTCCAGGTCTGGCTCGGGCCAAGTCGATCCCCACCAAGACCTACTCTAACGAGGTGGTCACACTCTGGTACCGCCCACCAGACATCCTCTTGGGCAGCACAGACTACTCAACCCAGATTGACATGTGGTGAGGAGCCCTGATTGGACCCTTTGAGGCTGTTTACACCTTGCATCAACATGCATTAGTCATTGATCAGATCACGTTCAGATTTCACTTCTCCACATGAAAAACTAGGTGTAAACACACCAGGCATGCATTATGGGATGCATTGTCTGTGACCTCCTTGAAGTCTTGAAGCCCAAGGGAACCTAGATCTGTGTTTGTAGGTTGGTCCTGTTCTTGTAGTCAGAATATACATTTACAAAGTATGTCCTGTGAATAGCTTCATTGTCCACTAAATGGGTGATGCATTTTCTAAGTTCTCCTCTTTTGAGCTAAACTGGGTGGTCCTAATCTCGGGTAGTGCGTACATAAGCAGTATCCTCACCAGTTGCAAGGGTGATATGGGTCGTCACGTCTACAAAGCTTTAACAAAACTGTCTCGCTGTGTTCGAGTTGGAGAAACTTGCCAAACGAAAGCTAACAACCAAGTGAAAGCTAACGTAGCAAGCATAACTGAGCAAGCTAGCTCATCTGTCTGCATGTCATTTGCGCATTCATTCGGTCGTTCGTGTGGTCAGGTGGCCACGCCAGCATTTACTGGATGCGCATCAAGCAGGACAGTGAATAAGAGCCTTACCTTCTTTAAGAATTTGCCACATAAAAGCTGGATAATGTTTTAAGTGAGTGGACACAGCAGGGATGTTGGCCTACAGAACCACCTGTATATGTAGAGCACATTTCACTCATTTCTCCTCACTCACGCTGTTGTGTTTAAGTCTGCTTAAGTGCCATAGGAGTGTTGGACTGAGGGCTGTCATTCAAACATGCTAATCAGAATATTAGGCCATGCCCAGACGGTTCTCACATAGGTCTGATGAATGATTTTGATTTAGAGGTTTACATTAACACTCAATTTTAGTATCATACAAACATATTTAATATTCTACACTGTATTCCTGGTCTTTAGCTTTCCATGTCCAAAAGTCCTCTGGATAGTAGTGACGACTGCAGCTGCAAGATAAAGTCTTCTCTTCCACTAATAAAGACCATTAGTTGGCTGTTTTAAGCGATTTCTTCCAGTACTTGACACTACATAATACCCTGGTAGGTGGCATACTATGTTTCCATAGGTTACCTTAGGCCGGGGGTCGGCAACCCAAATGTTAAGAAGAGCCATTTTGTCCTTTCAACAAAAATCAAACCACCTTGGGAGCCACAACACTTTATGTCCATTTTACCATCTTAGCTGTAAATATGACGAAAACGCAGACTCACTTTGCTCTGATTTAAGCTTTAGCTCAGCTATAGCTACTTTTTCACATCTCCGGCAGGAAACTTTTCCACAAAAGTAGAATAGTTTCTTCCAAAATGTCTCTCAACGTTGGACTATTTACGAGACTGAAGTCGCTTCTCATTCACCAGCTTCTTGTTCGAATTTTCCCATCCTACCCTAAATTGTGCCTGAGGCGCCAGAATGTAACTGCTGCAGCATTTAAGGTGGAATGGGACAATTCGAACAAGAAGCTGGCAAATAAGAAGCTGACTTTTTAGTGTTTGACAGTTTCTCGTTGCAGATAAAACGCATCAGGAAACCAGCTGGAGTGATTACAAATGCAGATAAGTCCATTCGTCTCCAAATTATTGATATTCATCTTAAATCTCTCTCTTATATCTCTACTAGCTAGGCGAGGTTGTCTGCGTTGCTATGGTGACCAGCAGTCTGTGCACCAATCTTTGAAGTTGAAAGTTGGTGAAATAGCAGTTATAGGCTACATTAATTCGTGTTTAAGACCATTTATTGATAAAACTGTGTTGAACGATCAGCAGAGCTTTATTTTACAATAAAGGAGGATTATTTTATTTTTATCTAAGAATCAAATTCTGCTGTGGAGCCGCAACAGGGCAGTAAAAGAGCCGCATGTTGCTGACCCCTACCCTAGGCACAATGGAAACAAGAAATGTGCTAATGGGCCTAAATCTGATCTCATCTGGTCACACTATAAATGCACTTTAGTGAAAAGGGTACATGGAGTCTTGCCATAGTAAACCCAGACATGATCTGGAAATGTTGTTGAAAGGTGTAAACAAGCTCTTTGTCAGATTTCAGCACTGGAAAAAAGTAGCAACTACTGTATGAAAGCAGCAGTGCACTGAATTTTTGTTTTGTATGTGTGTGTAGGGGGGTTGGCTGTATTTTCTATGAGATGGCTACGGGTCGGCCACTGTTTCCAGGATCTACAGTGGAGGAGGAGCTGCACTTTATCTTCAAACTGCTAGGTACCGTATCCCTACCTCACTCTCTCTCTCTTTCTTTCTTTCTTTCTTTCTTTCTTTCTTTCTTTCGCCATTTCTCTTCTTCCTCCTCTTGCTCCTCTTCCGCTCCTCCCTCATCTCTCTCTCTCTCTCCACCTCTCACTCTGCCGATTTTGGCACTGGATCAGACAGTTCCTTCTCAATCTCTCCCTCTTCTGTGTGTATGTGGTATTTATAAGCCCTCCTGCTGCTTCTCACAGGCACGCCTACAGAGGAAACTTGGCCTGGAATAACCTCCAATGAGGAATTCATCTCCTATAACTATCCCCGCTACCGCGCTGACTGTCTACACAACCACACTCCCCGGTAAGCACCGCATCTCCATAAACACACATCTGTATCTGTAGCTCCAATCATGGGACATTTTATAAAGTTCTTAAATTTAGGCAAAAATTTGACTTGTCCAGTAGAAATGGCCACCGTCTTTCCTCTTTTTGAACAGTCTTGACCAGTGATCTGCGTAATATTTTTAAGAGCACAAATTTAGCCAGTTGACTGGCTGGCAAAGGACTTATTATCACTGATTTATCATTGATTGATTCATCATTCTGTCACTGGTTTTGTCTTTAATATCCTGTAAGGTGTTATTTTTATCTAATCTCACATTTTGAGTATTTTAGTTTTCTGCAGTGAGGGTTTGCCAGGTGTTTTCAGACATAGTTGGTGAGCACAGCAGTGTAAGCTACAAATTAAATTTCTACACTGACATTACTAATGGCGCAAAATAAAGCTACTGGCATAAAGGCATTTTACTGTTATTTAGCACATTCAGCTAAAAGCATTTCGTAATTTGTTATTTAAATTATTATCTAAATTTAGAATTTTTATAAAAACGAATATATGAATTTTCTATCAAACAGGCATGCCGTTGCTGTCAGGACGAAACTTTCGTATCTCCAAAAAGTTAATGTAACACAGTTTCTTCCTTCCATTTGTACTGGTCCATTCATGATGAAGCTTGAACACGTGGTAAAGGACATTTGGCATTTTCATTAATTCTGTAAAAAAAACAAACACCCCAAAAAAAACAAGAATGGACATAAGAGGTTTGTCTCATTTAATCAGGCCTGAAATTTTGGTCTGAACCCAAATACAGCCAGAAAAGTTTCTAGTTTCTATCAGTGCCCAACCTGACCCAAAACACAGCATTGCATTTTGAGTCCTAACTTGACCCAACAAAATTCTGTCTGAACTGGAGGCGAACCGTATCATCATATTTTGAATCCGAAACTGACCCGAATATGCCAAAAACTGACCCGAACCAGCCAGTCAAATAAAACCTGACAGGACAGCGCCGGTTACCATGTAGTGACAATGACAGGCATTATTTGAGCCCAGATAAATAAAATATAAAACAGTATGAAATAACATCATAAAATAATCATCTGTCCCCAATTAAGTTTAAATTCTGCTTTGACAAATGTATTCATCAAATAATGCTTCTGAGCAGCATCTAAAGCGTTTTGTAGACTGGATAAACTTTCCATACTGCACTGTAGTGCGGTCATGCTGCGCTAATATAGTGAGATACTAGCTTTATCTGTTTAATCCTCGCACTCTATTTCTGCATATAGAACACGTTACATATATAACATATGAATATATTGGCCAAATGAATCAAACATTCTTTTGGCTGCACTGATCTGTTCCTTCCTGAATTGATTTACCGTTTATGTGCTGTCTTCTTATAATGTGGGCCTCACAGACCTCAGTGCTGAGTGAGGGGCTCCAACATGCCGTATTTAAGGTAGTGAAAGTAGTAAAGAATAAAGTAAGGAGAATAACTAAAGCAGCAGAAATGCAGAGTATTAAACTGTTAAAACCCAGTTGCCATGTGCACATACCTGCTGACCACTAGTCTTGACTTTTGACCTATGTTGTCCTGCTAACACAGAAATACGGCTCTGTCAAGCACCTTTGTGCTCCAGTGTTTCTCTATTATTTTTTTTTTTCAACAGGCTGGACAACGATGGAGTGGACCTGCTGTCCAAATTGCTGCAGGTATGAGAAATCTCTCTAAACAGTCCTCTCTGCTGTACTGTTGAAAGCCAGCTAGCATTATAAAACTGAGACGATGCTAACTTGATCCCGAAGTTCAGTAGCTGTTGGTAACATTTGCGTTTTTGAGTGAATTATTCCTTTAATGTGTGCACTAGAATAGAAAATAATATAGCACTGTTTACATTGACCTATATCAACACTGGCTTATCTGTGGGTTTCTGCCCTGATAATGTCGCTGCGCAATGTAAAAGCTTATGTTTACCTTCTACATAGTCTGTGTGTACCTAATGATAATCAATTGAGCATGTTAAACAACTTTACTGGACAATGTTGATTTGCTATATGTTTCCTATTCAAACTGTGACACACACTGTTTCAGTCCAGTTATTTGAATGAGGCTGGTGCATTAACAGTGCAGCGTCTGCGAGTGCGCTTTGTTTTGTAACTGTACTCTTGTTTCAGTTTGAAGGAAAGAAGCGCATTTCTGCAGATGAAGCAATGAGACACTCGTATTTCCACTGTCTGGGAGAGAGAGTTCTCACACTGCCTGACAGTAAGCGCACACACACTCACAGTTTAAACTGTTGTGGAGAAATGGAGAGAGGCAGCACTGCCAGACAGAGTGTGAACACACATAAACGCACACATTTTTAATGCTTCATTTGGTTCCACATGGAGAGCATACTGATCAGGAGGATCCATATGTTTGGTATTTTAGTCCAATAATGCGTACAGTTTATTACTAGTGGTTGGTATAGTGTAGTGGGTAACACCTCTGCCTTCTACGCTGTAGACTGGGGTTCAGTCCCGGGCTGGGTAACCACTCTACACTATACCAATAAGAGTCCTTTGGCAAGACTCCCAACACTACCTTCGCCTACCTGTGTCAAATGGTCACCTGTGTCAGATGGTCACATTGTAAGTCGCTCTGGGTAAGAGCATCTGCCAAATGCCGTAAATGTAAATGCCATAGTCTATCCAAAGGTAAATCAGCAATACTGTGTAGAATTGCTGAATTGGAGTGTTGTCACACTCACACATCAGAGTATGTGAGTGGTGGGGAGTGAGAGCGGAGCAGTGTGATTTTGCCCAAAGTGCATAGTGGCTTTTTAGGAAGTTTGATGGTCAGTGTTGTCTTTCACTCTGAAATCACTCTAATTCTGCTCCATCCCATAAGCCAGTTCTTTTTTCCCCCACACTGACTACCTCACAGTGAAATGAGTGGTACAGCAGGTCACACATGACGCCCATTCATACAGAGTAGACCTATACAGTAAAATCTCACAGATTGCAGCAAAGTTCTACAGATATTACACATAATCAGCCTCGCATCTTCCATTTTCCTGTGCAATTGATAAAGGAGATTGTGTTAAAACCATATACATTTGTTTACCCTCTGCAGTTTTCTGGCTTGTTATTGGGCCATTGTTTCAAGCCTGGCCCATACCTACTGATAAAAGCCTGTGTAGCACAGAATGTTTAGCTGTTTTTCTGTTTATCTCCTTAAAAGGCCAGGGCCCACCAGCCGGCTCAAGGTTTTATTAAACACTTCTAGAAACTAAGAATAGCTCAACCAGTTTGCATTGAAGTCCTTATAGTTAATGAATAATAAGCCTTAGTATATAATAAGCCTGGGATTCTGAGGGGATAAACAAAAAACTAGCTAAACTTTCTGTGCTACACAGACTTTTATCTCTAGGTATGGGTTAGGCTTGAAATGATGGCCCAATAACAAGCCAGAAAACTGCAGAGGGTAAACAAATGCACATGCTTTTAAACCTATTCCATACCTATTGATGTGTAGCACAGAATGTTTAGCCAGTTTTTCTGTTTATCCCCTTAAACAGCTAGGGCCCACCGGCAGGCCCAAACTTTCATTACACTCTTTTATAACTTAAGAATAGCTCAGTCAGTTTGTATTGATGTCCCTGCAGTTACTGAATAATTAGTATGTAATAAGCCTGGGATTTTAAGGGGTTGATAATAGCCAGTATTCTAGAGTTCATGAAATGAAGTGCGTAGTGTTGTGTTCATACTTTCAAGACGTAAAGCAATGTCATAAGAATGAATCATATACAGCAGACATGGATCAAGTTTTCTCTGACGTGTGAGCAAAGAGCGAGCGAGGAGGGGGAAATAGAAAACCTTGTTCTGTACAATGCAGTGTAGAATGAAACTAAAATTCTCTGCTAAAATCTTGAGACTCCACTCAAACTTGCATGAAGTGACCTGTGAATATCTAAGACACAGACTCTCGCACACTAAGTTGCAGTTGTGATGTTGCTTCACTAATTTCTTCACCAGGTTGAAGCAAAATATCGCTGCTGTCAGAACAAAACCTCATATCTCCAAAATGGTAACTTTACAGGAGAAGGAAAAAACATGCTGTACTTTTAATGCAAGTCAAAGGAACCAGACTTTTTTCCAAACTGTTTTGGGTCGTTTTTGTTGGTCAACTCATCATGGAATTTACACAACAGACATTTTCAAATTATGTCAAAAACTGAAAAATGACAAAAATGGAGATACAGGGTTTTGTGTCGACAGCAGCGATGTGTGCGGTCCTGATCGGGCTTTCGAAGGGAGCATATTTTTTTAATTACGTTTTTTGCAAGTGTGAGCAACATTATGTTGATTAATGAGCAGTTCATGTATTGATTTATTTATTTATTCATAAAGGAGATGCCACAGTTTGCCATCTGGATTTCTGTTGGCTTGCGCTTACATGATCTGTGAATTTGCAGAGTTGAAATTATCCACTACCGGAAGCACGTTTTCTTACTCGTATTTTCATTTCTGGCAGCAGGCAGCTTTACTCCATGTGTTTCCTGCCTCTGTAATGTAGTTTGATGTGCTTCAGTCATTGCTCCACCAAGCAGGAGCTGCTCAGTCTCCACTGCTTCAGCCTCTCAGCTGGTTCCAGTTCTTTCATCCTTTTTTCATCTTCAATCAGTTTTTGAGGTGCATGCACAGTCTAAGCCTAGTCCTACATTGAAAGAAACGCTCTCTAATGGAGGGTTGCACTCTGGCAGTGTGACTCAGTCTGAGGCCAGGCTTCAGCGGAGTGTGTGAATGGCTCTGTTTGCATGCCAAGATTTTGCCAATCCGACTGAATACATTCTGATTATCGATTAAGACTGAAGTGTTTATATTTACTATACTTGATAATTTAATGGAAATCTATGTTTACATGCACACCACAAGTAATCCAATCCAAAATGACACCCATGTGTAGAGAACTACTTACTGTAGACGTTACCATGACAACAAGCATCATGTGAGGTCCAGTCAGGGTGAGACGAGTTTTCAGGTGGTGCGCTTGTGTTTTTAATTGCTTTAAAATTCTAACAGACTCAGGAAAACGTGCTTCACATGTACTTATTAAAGAAGGCCGAGAGGAAGACGTCGTGTTCTGAGACACATAAGCTGGACGTCCGTCCCACCGCCGTCTTTTAAAGATCAGAGCATAAACTTCGTCTCCTCTACAGACCAGTTTCTGCTCCACCATGTTGAACGTTCTGAACTTTCACTATGACGTGACGCACATGATCAGAACGTGCTTAAACTTTCCGATTGGGAATGTTATCGGATACAGGTGTTTACATGGTTAGTGTTCTTCTATTTAACGGATTATTTACAGGATTACCCACCTTGTTCAGTAAGACAGATGAGACAATCAGACTAGTTTATTCCGACTGAATAAACCGTGTTTGCATGGACATATTTCATTCCAATTGAGCTATTAGTCGGATTATTAACGGATTATTAGGCTGCATGTAAACATGGCTAATGGAAGTGAATGATTAAGAAACACCCTGTACATTTAGTGTATGTAGGGGAGAAATGTGCAATACCATGCAGTGTAACAGAAATGCGAGTGTACTGAGCCAGTAAAGTGATGCAATGTGCCTCTCTCTTCCGCAGCTACGTCCATATTTGCACTTCAAGACATTCAGCTGGAGAAGGAGACAGGCATGAGGACGACCTCTCTATCTGACTCCGGTAAGAACGGCACTCCAGTACCCTTAACCATACTGCCATGATGATGATTGAGGATGAAGACTATGGGCCTTATCTTCAAGACTGTGTAAAGACTGCTGAATGCAGCTTTGCTGTGTATTCTGGGAAATGTTGTGCCCTGCAGTGCTCCATGTAAGTGTGGTAGCACAAGTTGGGGTGTTAATATTTTTGTGAAAATACAGTCACTGCGATAAGAACCCTGTGCATCACCTCTAAACTCAGAGGGGTGTCGCAGTTATTTGAAAATCTGGTGATTCCACCAGCAGACGCTAAGAAAATGTGAAACGTGCAGCACCTGGCACAATGAAGAAGACCCCTATTATCAGTGATATTATTATCAGTGATTGATGAAGTTGAGGCCCAGCGTCCTCTGTACGTAAGATTTGCCTTGTGCTCTGCTGAATGTTCTGGTACTTTTTGTGGTGTTCTAGTGTTCAGTGAATTCTTTCTGCAGGTTATTTGACTCTGGTGCCCTACTAGTGTAAAGGAGACGTTATAGATAAGGATGACCTGATTTGCATAAGATCATGAATAATGCAAATGGATCATAGTTAGTAATGAAGTGCACTAGTGCTGTCAGTCACTCCACTGTCCACTCTGTCCACTCTGTCCTGGGACTGCCAGGCAAACCCTCATCTCTCCCACTGATTGCGTTCTTTCACTGCATTCAGCTCACGTCCCTAAATCTTTCCCCCTGGTCACTGTGTTCTCTCTCTTTCTCTCTCTCTCTCTCTCTCTCTCTCTCTCTCTCTCTCTCTCTCTCCCTCTCTCTCTTTTCTTTCTGTCTCTGTCTCTCTCTCTGTCTCTCTCTCTCTCTCTCTCTCTCTCTCTCTCTCTCTCTATCTCTGTCAATCTCAGTCTCTCTGTCTCAGTTTCAATCTCTGTCTCTCAATCTTTCTCTCCCTCTCAGTTTCCCTCTACCTCTTAAGATCTATCTATCTATCTATCCATCCATCCATCCATTCATTCTTCCATCCATCCATCCATCCATTTAACCATCCATCTCAAGCACTATCTATCCCCTTCAGTCACTGTCTGTCTTGCTTCTTTACACTTTTTTGGTCCTTCCATTTTTCTTCATACCAACATCCTCATTCTCTCTCTCTCTTTCCATCTCTCTCCCCCCCTCCCTCCCTCCCTCCCTCCCTCCCTCCCTCCCTCCAGTGTTCTCCTCTGTTCTGTTGCAGTGGTAGCTGGTAGTGATTTAGTAAGTTATTTCATTGTACTGTATTATTTAAATGTTACAATATGAAATCAATTTCGAGTTATTTTCATTATGTTTACATTCACAATTAATTACATTCAATTCATTCAACCTTTACATTTGATTCACATTCTGTATTGACAAGTTCTAGTCTTTCCACCAAACAATAACTTTTCATCAAATTCAAATACTAATAAAATATCTCCTTTTCTACTTTCAAACACTAATGTGGTGTCGCTTGATAGTTTAAAATCCGCACAAAAATTGCAACACTGATTACTGAGATTTAATATATGGTTAATATGACCTGCGGCTGATGGAGGAACATTAGCTCTCCTCAGGAGTACCGTTTCCTTCTGTCCATCTATTATTAACTTCATTCTGTGCTGACTAAACTCTCTGCCATAGTCTTTTCCCTCTCTTGTTCTTTGGCATCTATTTCTTGCTCACTCTCCTCAGCACTGCTCTTTAAACAGTGTTTTGTATTTAAATGCTTCTTTGAGTCAAACTGATTCGTCATTCTGCTTTTGTTAACATGTTGATCTAATCTGCTGCACTGTTGTGTTCCAGAGCTTTTGCAAAGATGCCTAAGGTTCCGGCACACCTTAGGTACATACAATTGTTCTTCTGCTCCTAGCCAGAGGCAAGAAGCTCCATCAGTACCTTCTGTCCCTGTGCCCTTCCCCACTGTCAACATTTACTTTGTCCTACTTACAATAATTAAACAAAAATGCCCTAAACCATTCTACAGCCGTGATTTTAAATGGTTTAAATTGTGTAGCCTGATGATTTGAGATAATGGTGGGTGACTTTACAGGAGAAGGAAAAAATTTTCTTAACTTTGAATGGAAGTTAATGGAAACAATATTTTTTCCCAAGTAATTTTGGAGCATTTTTATGACTCCATTCATTATGAAATTTTAACACATTGTTAACGGCAGCTGACATTTTCAGATTACGAATTCAAAAAAAAAAGTTCTGACAATAACTTCGTCCGTCCAGTGCCAATAATTTTTTAAGCAACTACTAATAGCTGTTAAATCGTTAAAATGTAGCTGATTTTAAATGACATGCATTAGCTAGTTATGCTACATTAGTTGTCTTAATTTGATTAGCATTGCAAGTCGAGAAAAGCAAATTCCGCATCAGAAAAGTGCTTCTGTACCGCTGTAAGTAAAGTACATTTCATAGTTTTGATCATCATCTGTCTCTTTCAAAGTCAGTTTGAAACGTCAGTTTTATGTTGCAAGTATTTTGTTTGGCTGGTGGAGCTGTAGTTGATGACCTCCAAACCCAGACATACGCTGTGTGATTATTAGAAATCTTGTTCTTTGGTGAGTCACACTGTACGTTTTAATAGACCATCGTGTACAAACAAAGCCTAAGGTTTTTATACTCACAATGTATGAAAACATTCTGTCCAGTGCTGCGTGAACCACAGCCTCTACAGACAGCTGTGAACAATTTTAAATTGTTTATGAATATTTTCATTCAAAACAATACGCTGCACACCGAGTATTGAGCAGAAAAGCGAAACCAGGCGGTGATGTACACGGTAGGGCAATACAGTCTCTCCACTGCCTGTTTTATAAAGGTGATTTAAAAAATACCTTTTATACCTCGCAGTTTTATTCAGTACACAATGCCAGTATTGATATTAATGCATCCCGCAAACCTGTTTGTTCTCAAGTCTGTAAAAAAAGGCAAATATCAGAATACATGTGTTTTGCAACTATGTTTTTAAGTATTATGAAGTCTTTTTTACCATATTGCCCACCCTAAGTTTGAGGTGTACTGTTTTGACCACATTGTTTGTGTTGCCTCAGTTTAGTCTAGTTTCAGTCAGCATTTTCAGCTGAGTTCAGTTATTCTGAGTAGGAAGAAACCAGTGGAAAAACCCACTGTCATGAAAAATGAATTCAGACTCACCAAGAAAAACACAAGCAGGACATTTGTTAGTGCTCTTTCCCCAGTGCACTTACATCTCACACAGAATCAGCAGAGAAAGTCAGCTCGAAGTGACATAAACAAAGTCCTCAGTGCTCCTGCTCGAGCTGTCGCCCCATTAGATGATTCAAAAACAGCTCCTTGATAGACAGATCCAGACAGTATAAGCTGACATTGCGTTTACACAGAGACTTGTTGTGCTGCTGTTATAGTTTTTTCAGTGGTAATTTGTTTAATTGGCTGAAATCCCTCTTGTTCCCTTTTGTGTCTGCTGTTTACCCTCAGAATGAGCTGCTGTGTTTGTGAGCTTGTTTATCAGGTGTGTGTATGTGACAGTGTTGGTGCATGAGAGTGGATTTTTAATGAGCATTACAGCTTCACTAAGCAGATGAGGCTCTTGATCCCTCTAGATTAGCATTATAAAGAAATCTAACACTACAAATGTGGTAAAATAAATGATATGCAGATATTTTAGCACAGTGGCCCAGCGTCACCCAAATGTTCTGTGCTTCTGGAGTACAACGAATACATCATACATACTCTCTCTGGGGCCAGTCATTTTTAAGCTATTATCTGCAGATACTGATATGATCCCATTGTCATTGTGCATCACATTGTAGAGTAGGAATAAATTCTGGGTTTATCAAGAATAGGGCTGGGGTGATTCTGAAACACTGATCTGAAGTCTGGACAAACTGATAAACAAATGTTGATATTTTTACTGTGTAAAACCATAGGGATTGTACAGTACAGACTCTACTGTATATCTTGGACAGTTCCTGTTGGCACCAGAGAGGGCGAAAAGGAGTTAGTAATGGCATTCTAAACTGAACGTTCAACTAAAATTAAGCACAAAGGAGTATAGCCATACCAGAGCCAGTTTAAGGAGTGCCTGGCCACTTCCTGTTTCTCCCATCATGTCAGAAAATGATTGCAAAACGCTAGAGAACGGCCTCAGTGAGTAGGGCTGAATGCAGCTAAATGGATCGGTTGGCATTACTGCTTGAGTGCTGATTGGTTAGTAAGCTGATAAGTTTATTAGCTCACTGAAGCAGTTCACGCAGACTGTTAAAAAGTAGATTTAAAAAAAAAAGGTATTGGTATTGAGAGCTGATTGGTTGGCATTACAGCTACTGAGCACTGATGGGTTGGCATTACCGCTACTGAGTGCTGATGGGTTGGCATTACCGCTACTGAGCGCTGATGGGTTGGCATTACTGCTACTGAGCGCTGATGGGTTGGCATTACTGCTACTGAGAGCTAATTGGTTGGCATTACAGCTACTGAGAGCTGATTGGTTGGTATTACAGCTACTGAGTGCTGATGGGTTGGCATTATCACTACTGAGAGCTGATTGGTTGGCATTACTGCTACTGAGCGCTGATGGGTTGGCATTACAGCTACTGAGTGCTGATGGGTTGGCATTACCACTACTGAGCGCTGATGGGTTGGCATTACAGCTACTGAGCGCTGATTGGTTGGTATTACATCTGCTGAGTGCTGATGGGTTGGCATTACCACTACTGAGTGCTGATGGGTTGGCATTACAGCTACTGAGCGCTGATTGGTTGGTATTACTGCTACTGAGAGCTGATTGGTTGGTATTACAGCTACTGAGAGCTGATTGGTTGGTATTACTGCTACTGAGAGCTGATGGGTTGGCATTACAGCTACTGAGCGCTGCTGGGTTGGCGTTACTGCTGCTGAGTGCTGATGGGTTGCCATAACTGCTACTGAGTGCTGAACAGTTGGCATAACTGCTATCAAATAGCACAGGCCCCATTTTATATTTTATGTTTTATTTTTCCCAAATATATGGATCAATAGAATA